TTCAGCCTCAGCAATTCCATAAACGTTAAGGGATAGGGCCTGCAGGTGTGATAAAGACCTTTGTCTACTGCTTGGATAACCACTTGCAGTTCTGTAGGAGGGCAGCTAAGGATGATTTTCCAGAGCTGTTCAGCCCTCTCCCTGAGCAAGTTCCATTTTTAGGCCTGTCACCAGGGATAAGAAGAGGCAACTTCTTTGTAAACAGAGTTCACAAAACATACACTGCCAAAAACTTCCACCAGTACTTCCCACAACAAACACACCATTTAGGGCTTAAGCTACAAAGATGACATTCATGACATTGTATTTTGACATTTAGAGCAGGGATTTTAAAGTCCTGCAATTTGAAGGGAAAAAAACAACAAAAAAACAATCTTCTTCATTATCTTGACCTGAATAGTTTTGTCTTCTGACATTGAGAGACAGTTGCACTCTGAAACTAGATTTCTATGCCTTAAGATAATTGGCAACTTTCTGAATATTTGATGCTTCATTTCTGAAAAACTATGAAAGTCTCATCATGTATTTTACTCTATAATCGTGCGAATGCCATGTTTCATTTTAGTATAATTTTTGTCTAGGGTGCATTGGTGAGGAAGTTGAGTGGGGTTAAATGCACAGGACTGTTAGGTCTCAGATTCCAGGATGTTTTATCCACAGGCCATGAGAGACTTGGACTTATGTCCATCAGCAGAAACAGTTTTCTCAAGTCTTCTGAGATTGAAACATTCCTTTGCACATTTGGGAATGCATTTTTCTTATCTGCTTTGTTGTCATTTTGGATCCCAGCTCTCTGCAAATTATTTTTTGAAGAGCCTGCAATTCTGTCTCTAAAATTTATGTAATCGCAGAGGTCCCTTTTCACTAAACTTAGGGTGAAAGTTTTAAAAACGACCCAAGACATTTAACAAAATGAAATTAGAATTCTGTACCATTGAATAAAATGTAGTTCAGCTCTATGAAGAAGCTTAGAGAGGGAGAAGATCTGATAGTTGCATAAGGATGCAATTTGCAAGTGCACAAACCAGAAAATTGAAGAAAAGCGCATTAAAAAATGTTTACTGGAAATTGTAAGAGGAGGAAAATACCTCTGTACATGGCACATCACTTCCATTAGGCAGGAGGAAGAATGATGTTGGGTATCAGGCAGACATCAGGCCTGGGAAAGCAGGTGCAGTTGCTCAGCAAGAGGCCTTGTTCCCATTCTCATGTCAAGCAGCACAACTGCAGAGTGATTCCACCACTTTCCTGAATGGTTTTTCTGCTAAATAATGGTACCCAAAGCAGAGACCTATCGAAAATAGTAGGCAAATGATCACACTAAGAAATGAACCCAGCTCCTACAGTGAATCAAATCTGATTATCATGAGGACACATCACCATTCTTCCCCCCCTGCCTCAACTGATTCAGCAGATCAGAAGGGAAATGCTTTAGGGGCTGTAGGGAAGAATTGTTTATATAAGACTTACTCACAAAGCAAAAAAAAAAAAAAAAAAAAAAAAAAAAAAAAAAAAAACATAATATGTTTGGTCTATAAACCAAGACCATTTCTGCCACAGATGGTGAGCCAGGAAAGTAAGCTACTCCTTCAAGCTCCTCCTCTTTCCTCCCTTGCCTGGTAGAATTAAGCTTGCCACAAGCAGACATTAATCTGGAGAGAACTCGACATTCCTCCAATGGCAATAACTAGTTACAACTGCAAAAAAACAATCTTGATAAATTCCACCTCTGTTCAGTGGCAGGGCTGGCTGCAAGGGGAGACAGTAGGCTGTCTAACCACTGCCTTCAATTACCCATTCAAAGGCCTCTCCTGTTTTTACAGGAAGGGCAGAAAAGGAAATAATGCAAAAACAAAACCCCAAAACAACCAGTGAGAGTTGCCTTATTCTTTTGAGTCGTGGTTTGTTTTTTTCCCCAAAATCAGTGTATCTAGTACTGTCCTCTTACTTATCAATCCATCAGCATTTTTCACCACACTAAATCCTGGCACAGGCATTTTCCTGAGCTTTCAAGTGGCAAGTCAGAGATCTGGCCTGTGTGAGGGGATTTATTTTCCCTCTGCTGAGGTTATGCTATGACTACCACTAATTCTCAAAAATCCCCATGTACCAGACAGCCAAGAGCATCGATGCTCAGAGCTGCAACAACCTCCCTGCTCACAGCTATCCCAGCTGTGCCTTGCTTTGACAGCAGCTCAAATACTGATCCCTGGAACAGTACACTGACAACATTTGCTTAGGGCAGTACACAGATGTCTATGAATTCTTCCAGAATTATCATGCCAAACCTTACACCCCTTTCTGACTTTGGTGCAGGACTTAACATTTTAATGTCTACATGGTCCCTAAGAAGAGCTTAGCTCCTGGAACTCACCTGCCTTCTGAGCAGGGTCTCATAAGATCAAATGCTGCACCTCAAAACTGTTTTCTTCCTCTGGCCACAGGGAATATTTAGATGGCAATATCATGTATCTTTCTTTTTCAAGTAGTATAGCAGTCAGGCCAAGCTTTCTTCTTGGGCCCAACCACTAACAGGATGAAAAATGTTCCTGAATGCTACGAAGTAAATATTGTCAGGAAGTGGAAAGTGGTTTCTGTGCTTGAAATGGACAGTTCAAGAAGAAAGAAAATATCCATTTGTGGTGTTTTCCACAGCTGCTGGGCTTTCCTTCTGTGACAATATTTTTCTTCCATTACTTGCCTAATTTGCCTGAAATTAATATGGAATTGCTTATCACCTGGAGGGAAAAGCATTATGCTGCTGGGATGAAAGGCTCCAGAGATACTGCTGGATCACGGGCTGCAATGTGTTTAAAAAAGAGAAGGCCATTGTGCACTCATGACATGTGGCCTTTCTGTGAAAATAGTCCCTAACCCGAAAGGGATCAGAGGTCTCTGATGGGATGGCAACCAGATTGCAGAGTATGTAACAAAACCAACCAAACGTCTTTCGCACATCGAACAAAAGGAAAGTCATCTGCCTTAGGCCAATATACTGATACCATGTACTGTTAGGTATGTCAGATGCCAAGAACAGATATCTAGCAATAATTCCTCTTGACTGGAATAACACTATGTAGGGATGTAAGGCAGGAAACTGCAGAAGCACATTAGTGTTCTAGTTCAGATGAAAAGGATATGCTTTTAAAATAAGCTTTGAGTTTACCTCCACATATGATCTCCATTGTGTCATCAAGCAGCATCAAGCCCCAAAAACAAGATTCCTCACAAATTAACTGGGAGATACATTCCCAGAGCACCGCAACACACTGCAGCCTCAGGTGGACATTAGTCCATAGGAACAGACCACAGCACATCTGAAGCAAAAGAAAAACCCTAACCTAAAGTGCATGTAGCACCAACTACTTTACAATAAAGAGATTTGCTTACCTACAATATCTTCTGATATAGAAATTGTCAGGACATCAAGCTGGTCCCATGGAGTTCCCTTCTACATATCTCTTACCAGAGTTGTATCTAGAGCCTTTGAAGTGAGAGAAATTGAGAAGATTAAATGAAAGCCACTTAATCTCAAAGTCAAATCTGCCCTCCACACAACTCTGCTATCACTGTTGAGGACAGAAAAATCTCTAATCAACAAATGTAAGTCTACTAGTTAAAACAACTGTTTATCCTTCAGGCTCCTAAGGGGACACTCCTGTCATCTATATCTGTTCCAAATGGCTACAGCTGTGTTCTCCAATGTCAGAGCCTAACAGAAGACTTTGGGTTTTCATACATAAAAGGATACCATCAAAATCTACAGCAAAAGAAGTGTTTTAGAAAAAAAAAAACACACAAAAAACCTCCAAAAACAAAACATCCAAATCCCCCTTGAACAATTCACATCACACTTGATACAAACCTCCAGCCAACCTGAGCTGCTGCCACCAACTGATTAGCAACTCTGCGATGATCAGACAGTGTCTGGGGGACAAAGAGGTGGTTCCCTGGCCTTTCAGCCAGATTTAAGTCATGTAAAGAATGCTTCTGGGATGAACCCTCCAGATGTGACAGATGTTGCACTACCTCTCCTACTTGTCAATGCTTGTTTTGATCCCAGAAACAGACAAAGCTCCCCACAGTGTTTCCAGATTAACACACCTGTTTTCAACTTTCATTTTTTTTTAGTACAACTATAATGCACGGAGAAAAACACAACACAGCAGCACACCTGCTGACTTCAAATTCCTCTATAAACAGGGCATTTGCACATGCTGTTACATATAGGTGATTATGTTACATGACTGTCAAAGTAATTTTTAGTAGCTGTTATTTTATAAACTACTTGTAATACCCAACATACAGAGGATGGTGAGGAAACACACACATGGTGTTGTAAGAAACAGAAAGTGATTTCATGATGAACTTACCCTGTGCTTCATGAGAAGTTCTAAGATGTCAAATCCTATGGAAGTACAAGAAAGAAACAAGACCTACGTGCAACTACTGAGTGCAGTCTTTCTACAGAAAGAGTTCCCCTAAGCCAAGGAGTTTGCCTTCAAGGCAAACTCAGGCTATTTGCCTGATGTCCAACTGTTAACCAAGAACTCTGGTCCCCAAGTGCCACATCAACACATGTTTTAAGTAACTCCAGGGATGGTAACATACACACTTTTCTGGGCAGTCTCTTCCAGCACTTGACAACCCCTTCAGTGAAGAAACTTTGCTTATTTATCCAATCTAAACCATCACTGGTGCAACTTGGGGCCATTTCCTATTTCACTGTAACTTGGGAAAAGGGACCAACCCTCACCTGTCTACAACCTCCTTTCAGGCAGTTGTAGATGACAATAAGGTCTTCCCCACAGTCTCCTTTTCTCTGGACTAAATGACTCCAGTGCCCTCAGCTGTTCCTCAGAAAACTTGTGCTCCAGACCCTTCACCATCTTAACTGATAAGTATACCACGTATAAAAGTCAATATAATCTGATTTTTCATTAGTGTGTACTGAAATTATTTCAAGTCAAGAAAGAAAGCAGCAGTATGAAAAGACTCAGATGTTTCAATTTTTATTGCTAATCACTTGCCCTTACAATGTTTCATAACTCTTATCTAGGGCACATTGAACATTGTTTACATGAACATTATATTCATTTGCTGTAGCATGATACACAAATAGTCACATCACGTAAGCTTCAAATATGCAGCTTCATTTTATCACCGTCCAGGTCTACTCTTCAATGCTTTCAAAGTTTTCTTCATGATTGGTCCAATTTCTTCAACAGCAACAAAGAGACCAGTTAGCATTACAGATATGATTGACTTAAAATGGTATTAGCATAATATTAAGCATATATTAATAGGCAGGTCAAAACAACTAAATTGATAATCTTAGGAAATTCCATTTACTTTTGATTGGCTTCTTTCCATCTTGAATCATGACACCTGAGCTAGAACTTCCAGTGTTGCCAGCAGGAATCAGATTTGATAATGTGTTATTTCTGTCTCTGCTTTCTGGAATCCCTGTTCTTTTAGAAAAAGGAAGTAAAAAAAGTTAGTATTTGATATGAAGCTACTATTTGCTCCAGCTCATCTGGGGGAAAAAAACAAAACCCTAATCAAACAAATTTAAGAGACTTTCTCTGTTTCAAAATCATAAGATAATTCAGGTTAAAAGGGGTCACAGGTCCCCCATCTTGTCCATTTTCATTCTTGCATAAATTTTAGACTTATAAGATTTTATTTAAAATTAAATTATCAGAGTTTGTGACAGATCAAAACGGTCAGCAATACCGCTGTGATTCATAATGCCCTGTGCTCTAGTTTGTACTCTGTGTTTATTTTCCTCTGTGAACACAGCTGAACTGCTAACTAGCTCTCTGACAGAAAATGAGGGCAAACTTAAAAAAAAGCTTATGTAAGAATGAGTAACTAGGAAAAGGCACAATAACTAACCCTAAATATCCAATCACCAGGACAAGGCCTGAGGCAGATTCTTACACCTCCTGCTAAAGACAGTTAAACCAACACAGCAATCACATGTCAGCATGATGTCACTGATCTGGACAGCCTAGTCCACCTCAGAGGCAGTCCCTGACATCTGCTGCCAGCGCTCACATACCACTGTGCACTGAACTGAGAGCAGCGGCCTGCTGGGGATCTGCATGTCTGCCTCGGGACCTTCTTAGCTCCTGCAAGACCAGCTGCTTAAGCGAAAATTTCAGCTGTACAAATTCTGCAGCTTACAAAAATGACAGCTCAAAGTAATGAAGTTTAACTTATTATGCCTAAACAAACCCTTGTTTCTCATGAAGGCAAAGCAATGACTCTTGTGGTTTCTTTCACACAACACCAGTTCTTCCTAATTTATCACGCCTGAGGAAAAAAGTCTTGAAGGGCTTGGAGTACGTCATTCAGCTACTGGCCCAGTGACCACTGGAGCAGAAAGGACATATACATTACTGTACTTGAAGCACCTAAACTGGAAGGCTGCTCTGTCACAACACATAATCAACCTCCCACAGAGAAACTGAAAGCAAAAGCCTAACCTGAAGTGCCTTAAGGTCAGTGCCTTGGAAGGGGACTACCTTTCCATTGAAAACAACAACAGTATGGAAAGAACCTTCTGGATCTCATCAGCTAAGGGTGCACTTATGAAAAGATACCTGTTAAAGCTGACTTTAGGAAATTGCTACATCCAGGCTGTCATTCCTGCCCCATACCACCACTATCTTGAGCAGTAAGTCAAGGCTATTCAACTAAGCTTCTGAAATTCAGAGGGGGGGGGGGGGAAGGAAAGAAAGCACATCAAACAAATAAACAAACCCCCCCCCCCAGTTTTAAAAGTTCCTGATGTTCACTCTGATCAGCTAAATTACTACAGGCAGCTGACTGGGATTTTATCAAAGCAGAACATGTGAGGCTACTAGGCAGGTTTATAAACCCAAAACATCAACAATGGAATCTCCCAAGGATGTCAAGCAGCTTTAGAGTGATCTGGGCAAAAAAAACACCATCCACTCACACTCTAGCTGGGAGGGTGAATTCACAACTAGCACTTTGGAGAAATGTGGGATGGCAATGCCCACATGGCGCAGAAGTGCGCACAACTTAAAAGGCAAGTCAGTTTCTAGCCACCAGCCGCTTAAAGAAAAGAAAGTAAATAAAGAGTTATTTAGAACTTCTAAATTATTTTGCAAGCAAGCTTTTGAACTGACAAAAGACACTCAAACTCAAATTAAAAGCATTGTACATAACACTTACTTGTACTTCTGTATGGGATGAAATGGGGTGACGGGTCCTGCTGTCCCATGGATTTCTTGCTGTCGGCGAATGTCCCTGGGTGGTTTTGCTGCACTGCTCATGTAAGCCAGTTTTACTTGCCTGCCTAATAAAGAAAAAAGGAGCAGAGGATATGTGACTTTTTATGCCTTTTATATCCAAAGCTCTTTGCGTTGCTGCTTAGGATCCTCAATCTAACCAGTAAGGTAAGATTTGTCTAATGCATAATACTTGCAGCATACAGCAAAGTATTGTACTAGCACATGCATTTAGTTTTTCAGCAACTTTTAAATTAAGAACAGTGTTTGTTCTTGATGACTTCTAGAAGTTCAGCATTAGTGTTCCCTGCAAACAAATCACTAAACCCTACATATTGTCAAGAACAACAGAAGAGACTGGGTTTTGTATTGGAGGAGCTAACCAGATTTTACCTTTTGGTTTCTCAGACTGAGCTGAAAGAATATTTTTTGTAAGCATCTTCAGTTTTTCTTCTCTCTGATTAAACAGTCTCAAGTACATTTCACGCCAAGACTCATATTCCAAGAGGCTCTCATTTTTAAAGTCTCTCTGGCAGTGTTTCTTCCACAAGTGGTCAGAATCCTTTATAAACATCTAATTTGAACACAAGATATCTTAAATCAAAGATTTGAAAACATTTTCAAGAGTACCTGTCAGCTGAGCCTGAAGATGCAGCCCAAACCCTTGGTGGAGAAAGGTGCAGAACGAACCCCATCACATGTGCCATCACCAGTACCCACAATGTGAAGTGTAGCAATACCATGCAGATATACTGACTTCAGCCTAGAAATCCCACAGCTTCAAACAGCAGAGCCCTACACTGGAGTCTGTAGGCCATGTTTACAGTCTAGAGTTGTGTTTACAGCACAGGCTCAGGCTGCTCCAGCTCTCCACTTGAAGCACACAGAGAAAAGGCAAACTTGCACTATGAAGGGCTATACACTCAGAACCTCAATGTTCACATGCATCATGGAGCTGAAGTCCCAACAGCATGCATACTAAATCTACCACACACATGAAATCTCACCCCAGCTACTTCTTGACTGGTATGCTTTGCAACCATAACAGTTCATAACTTGAACACAGTTGGTTCTATTACAGCTTTCCCAGCTGTTTCAGTGGCAAATACTGTGATCATTTTTTTTTCTTTCTTATTTTTGGAAATAAAAATAGTTTTCTATACACAGTCCTTCACTTAGTCATGAGGAATAATTCTCCCAAATGTTTTAAATCCTCACACTTGAGAAAGGGAGTCTTGATAATGATAGCTTAATTCAAAGAAATTAGTATGCAGGACAGAAACCCAGTGCAACCCGTGGAGTTGTGGAACGCTGTAGCTCCCTGAATTTAACAAGGCAGAATTTACCAGGTTGCATTCCTCTATTCGAAACAACTGCTCTGGTGTGCAACGTGTTAGCACAGGTTCAAGAATTTCAAAGGGCACACCTCCTACTTCTTGTAGCACTACAAAAAATCAGGTAAGGTACTTTCAGTATCTTACTTATTTTACTCAGTGTGTAAGTTTACTCAGTGTGAGTTTAAAAGTAAAAATACAAGTCAAGTTTAGCACACACTAACAGAACACTTTCTAAAGTCAGGCTATGAAAATATTTAGAGATCAGCAGTTCCTCACTGACTAGTAGTTATACCTGAGGATGGATCAAGCATCTTTGAATAGTCATTTCCCCATCTTTACTGATGTGTATCACTTCCCCTCTCTACCTATGCATGGAATAAAAATGTCTTGATTTTTCATTGTAATTTATGAAAACAAACACCTTGGGCTGGGGGGAACAGCAGACTTCTTGACTTATAATTTACAGGACATTACATTTTAAGTAAAATTGGAACCGGAAAAATTTCAAGCTTTCCAAAAAAACCCTGCATTTTAGCACAGACATCAGTCCCTTTTTAAGTGCCTTTAAACTTGCTCTGAGTCACTGTTTGCAGAGCAGGACAATATATTTTAGTAGGCCTGTTGTTGGCATGGAGAAAAAAAAAATCTGATACACTTTCCGTCACAGCCTGCTACAAATCCCTTAAAGTACTCACAGTCAATATTATTCTGAAGCACGCGGATGCACTGTTCATACAGTGTAAGCATCTTTGACAGACAGACTGTTTTAGAGCCAGAGTAAACTTGCATTTTAGAGTTGACTCTCCGTCCTGGGAATTGAACCATCTCACTGACTTGCTGAGGTGCTTCCACAACAGGTGCTACAGAAGCTGCAAGCAAGACATCAGCAGGTTTTGCAATGCTTTAAACATTCAGCTCTGAGAGTAGCACAGCTGGTAGGATATGTTACCTTTTCTTGAAAGACAAAGTTATTGCATTACAGTTTTGGGCCCTTGCACATATTACATTGCAGAAGTCCACTCACCATCATCTAACACCAAGACAGCTTGTACACTGTAAGTGAGCTGCACCCACTCAAATATGTCTTGCATTATTTAGCTCCAACCTACACGAGCTGTATTCACACTTGGGGAACAGAGTAACCTATCTATAGCACCCTGCTGACCCTCCTAGGTTATCCCAGAGAAGGCGGAAGCTGCAATAGCAGCGACATTTCAAGACGCCAGTGGTATGAAACCACTGAAACCTCAGAAAAACTGCTAGAGAAACCACTGGCAGTTTACATCACCTACCTGTAAAGATGCTAGTGGTTCTCATGCCAAAGTTCCTATACCAAATGTTTCATGTATTTATTTTACCTGAGGTAGTTTCTACTAAGTCTATTCTTGTCTATACCTTAGACCAGGCAAAAAGATAAATGGGGGTTGTAGAACTACTACCCAATTTATGCCTTCTCTACATCTGTGATAAGCTTCCACAGTATTTCTTTACTCAGCCAGCCATAAGGAAGGCTTTATAACTCCCTTCAACTTCAATATGATTTTTACAGGTGAGAAAGTGAAGGTGAAGCCCTTCTTTGCTACGGAGAGATGAGCTAATACAGTTTATTAGAAAAGGAGCTAAAATATCTCTACAGAGACCTATAAAACCCCATACCATTTCAACCTTGTATACTACTTACCTGTAAAGTCTGCAACATATGAGTTTGAGATGCCTGTCAGAAATTTAGGTAATGGAGTATTAAGAAGCTCCTGGAGGGATGCCACCTTAGCCTGTGCACAATCAAGGAAACAATGCTTCAGCTTTATGAATTTGGGTTTACAGGAACTTAAAATAAGCTAAAAAAAAAAAAAATAAGCAAACAAAACACACCACCAAAACCCCAAACCAAACAACCCTTAAGCAAACCCCAAAGTTAACCAGGATAACTAAAATTATTTCTTTTCTACACTAAAATTTACTCACAGGATTATTTTTCAGTGTACCCTTTCTTAGTTTATATAGTCTACTTATCAAGACTATACCACAAAAAGAACTCAGTGTGACATCTGCAATTAGTGCACACAAAGAGATGAAAGAACAGTAGATCAGTTAACAGGCTTTCAGATAAATCACTACAGAGGCAAGCAGTGAATGAGACAAAACTGCAAGGTGACAAAAGTACAATTCTAAAAGACAAGAAATAGCTTTACACCTTGTCCTGTCAAGTCTCCTAAATCATGCCTAAAATATTCACAGATAACCCCGTAAAAATGGATTGAAATATGCTGCATTCTGTTAAGTATGGGTCCCTACAAATGTATTATGTGCAGTGTCAAAACTGGGTCTTAGGTGTCCTCCAATTGTAAGTCAGACACTTATAGCCCAAAACTTGCATTGCCTGAACTTCATTTCAGTATCTTCAATAACTTTTCACAACTGCTTGAATATACAAGATTTTTCCTCAAGCAGTTTAGGAGTATCAGATACAAGCCTCTACAGTAATATTTCTCCATTTGGGACAGAAGATACCACATTCCAATCACAGATCTTCCACAACAAATAAAGCCTGAAGCTTTCACATCACAGTGAAGATAAAATACTGAAGATACCTCTAATTTCCAGCATGCAAAAGGTCTTTATTTAAAATGTCTAATTAATACATATTTTTAGATATACCTGGGCTTAGAGAAGCTACTCAAGCTTCTTCCTCTTCAAGGGGCTAGGATAGCTCAGATTAAGAACATGTATAATCTTATATGCAATACTTTGGTTTACCTCAATGCATTTAAGGAAGGTTCAGCTTCACTGCAAACCTTAACGTTCACTATTAAAGAGCCACATCATCTGACGAAAAGACTGTGCTGTAAACTAACAGCTGCTGCAGCCACAAACCAGGCTGGTCAAGAATGTAAGAAGGGGACATCTTTCCAAAGGTAAATATCTTTGCACTTTGCAGGTCAAAAGCAGACTAGCTGATATGAATCAAACACTATTGCAGTATTTGAAATAATCCTAAAAATACAAGTAAGTCAATTGCAAATCACCAGTATGCAGGAAGCATTCTTCCTTCCCTCCCTCTACCTCGCCCCCTACAATTATTGTAATTACAGGTAGTTGCAATAGAGCTGATATATCAGAGTCATGCAATCTGTTCCTTAAAATAAACAGAGATAAATTTCACTGAAATTCAGAGTGCAAAGCACTTATTTATCTGTAGTTTATCTGCTATTATCTCAACCATGTAGCAGTTTACCTTTTTACTGGGAGTTTCTGATTGATCACTCTCACATTTTTTAAAGTCTTCCACTCCCTCTTCTGCATGAGAAAGTTTTGAGGTCTTTTGTGGTAATGACCTGTTCTTCTGCTCACTGCATTTCTTTGGCCGTGCACCTGTAGCCCTAGCCTTCCTCTTTCTTTTATTTGTAACTTGATCATAATTAAGATAGGATTCAAAAGACATAGTAGGGGGCTCAAATTCCTCATCACTAGATAATTTGGCTTTGCTTTTTATGACAAGTTTTTGTTTTGCTTTCTTCACACGTTTAGGACTTCTCTGTTCAGAAGTATCCTTACTAGACATTTCCCCCAGAGGTGATAAGCCTTTATCAGCTGCAGAGAAACGCTGCTTTTCTGAAACTTTCTTGCTCTCTGTGGAGTTGCTCCCTTTGAACTCACTGCCTTTAGACTGAGAATTGGTACCCCAGGAAGCGTGCTTAGAACCACTGCTGCTACATTCTTCATTATCACATTCTTTTGGAGACTCAGAATCTGTACTTTGATGGGTCTTTTCACTACAAATACACTCCTTATTCAAGGTTTTAGAAATGGGAGTGCTGTTGGGGCTTCTAAAGGCCTGTACAGATGCTCTGGACTTCTTTGAAGGCTTAATCTCCTTGGAAACAGAAGATTTTGTCTCACATTTTTCTTTTTCAGTATATTTTTTTCCTCTGTGACCACTGCAACAATAGAAAACAACCCACATGTCATTGTTTATCTGATGCTAAATTTTTAAACAATCTTTGCTCCTATATTAATAAAACTAAAAGCATTAAAATCACACCATATGTCAACTTTACAAAACCCAGAACTGTGCTCTGATGTGCTCTTATTTTTCCATTATCAGTACAGAATCCCAGAGAAGCCGCTCTTGGGTCCAGCACTGCTAAATATTGCAAGAATTGACAGCAAGGCAAGTGGGGAGTAGGGACAATCATCAGTCGGAAAACATGCCTGGCAGTACTATTTGCTTAAAACATGTGGATACCACTTTTCATACAAGTTTCCTGCATGCTTTAGAACACAGATGTAGTGCTTGCAGTAACTACGAGACAGAATTTACAACATGCTCTGTAGGTGGTACAGATTACAACAGGTCAGCCTTTATGATTTGCTCTTCACAGGTTCTGGTATTTTGCTTTCCTGTTGTTTGAACAACTTCAGATTTAAAATGCACTGTTTAGTCAAACTAAACCCGTGGCTTTCTCAGCTCAACTGTCTCAAACTGTCAGAGGACTGCAAAGCATCTAAAGCAGAGCGAGCCTGGTCATGGCAGTGGTGGCTGCTTCTTTCAGAGAAGAAACTGCATTTCTTCAGTGTGACTCCTCCGGTATTAGAAGCCCCTCTCAGTCTACAAGATCATTAAAAGAAAACTCTCTATACAACAAAAGCACAGGAGAGTTTCCTCCTTTAACCACCACCTCTGGGAAGAAAGAACAAGTTCCCCAATTTACTGAAGAAGTGCACAGCAGTGCCCATCATTGGTTTCTAGTCCTGCTTGTACCAGCTGGGACCTAAGAACTTGTGCCAGTCAAAAAACCAGCTGAAGTCAGAGTGCTGACTGGCTAATTGACTAATACAAGTAACTTTGACCTTTTTCCTCATATTTTATAATGACATCCTAATTTCTTCCATTCAAGTTATGCATTTGTCCTAATACAGATTTGTCCTTACAAACACTTTCCCAAGATTTCCAATCTCTATTTTAAAGTCCCACTACAGTATAATTAACTTCTAGGAAAAACATTCACACCTACCTTTTATTTTCTGTAGAAACAAGCTTTTTCCATTTTTTCACCAGAGTTTTAGCTATATTCCCAGCAGTGACATGTTTCCTCAAACTGTTAACTGTTTTGCCTATGCCAGTTTCCTGTGGAAGATAATGCAAGAAAGATGGGCAGAATAAATCACAACTCTCATCCCAAACAAAACCTGTGTTTAGGAAGGCAAATGCCTTTGCCTCTTTGCCTGAATAGTCTAGCTAAATATCTTAATAATCATTTTTTTTTATTACTCTTCAAAGAATTCTCTCACAAACCCATATTTTTCTTCTTCCCAAAGTACAGACAGATTGCTTATAATAAATCAAAGCGTCATAGACCAGTGTGATAATATTTAGTATAAAATTTGATAGGATGTGGCTTGGATGAGGACAAAAGTCACAAAAATCCTTACTTGGGCTCCCCGCTCTTTAAATGCAAGAAACTAACTTTGAGCTGCTAATAAAAAACAGAAGAGTTAGAAAACTGACCTAAAGAATGGTTCACCCTTATTTGCTTTTCAGTCAATGCTAACATTGATTGAAAGTAGTTTTACACTGAAAAGAAACCAACCCTGATTAGTAAAATTAGTAAAAGAGCCTCTATATGCTCAAGTCCCTGCTCAGTTCTACCATTAACATAATACTGCATTTGCCAAGTTGGATGCCCAGTTTTTAAGAAATGAATCTAACTAAATTATGATATAGAGCCAGAATTCTAAAATGTAACCTTCACTACCTCTACAATTGCAGACTCCTGACATTTACATAGTAATTCACTATGGAAGAGTTTAATACATCATTATTGATTGCTTACCACTAGAATATCCAGTGATAAATCCAAATCCTGTAGTACCTTAAGTGTTGTTATGATCTGAAAGGAAACATTAGATTTATTGTTTTAAACAAATACTTGAAATTCTACTCCGTTCTTCTCATCCTCATTCCCTTGTTTAATCCAAAAAGACTCAATAGTGTTAAAAGGAACATCCAGGGCTGCACATCAGGGCTGTGCTTGCAATCTGTGATGTGAAACAGTACAATTCTGCCAACCCCCCAATTTCAGTTACACCAGAAAATCCAGTAGATAGCTTGAATTTACAACTATAGAGATTACAATAAAGATCAATAATACAGTAGCATGAGGTACATATATATACCACACTCCTCACATAGCAGTGACCCTCTTTTGCCGCAAAACCAATAGAAAAGCAGCACAAAGCAAAACCACCACAGAAAAAAAAAAAAAAAAAACCAACCAAAAAAAACACCAGCAAGTCTCACAGTCAGCAGCACTACTCCTTCATCAGCCCAGGCCAAAAAAGCACAATAGAGATGGTGCGAGCCCGGATTGCATAAAATAAGGTATTGAAAACATAACTGCAATCTGTACATTAACAAAATGAGCTCAAGCTAGAACAGCTGTTTCCTTTAGCACTGACAAAGTGTACACCTGTTACAAAACTCAACATTTCCATAAAAGGAGGAAAGATTTTTTTCAAATACAAAAGGCTCATCTTCCTATGAGGATTTTTTTATAACAAAAGTCTAATTGATAAGCAGAGTTTAAATTTCTACAGGAATATAATCCAGTTTTTTGGCAACGGTTATACAGCACCCCAGGGTCTTGCAGCTGACCTTATCCTTCTCTTGTGGTTTTGGAATGGTATTCCCCAATTTAGTGTTCCCACTGAAACACCCCAAACCACATGCATGAAGCTATGTTATGTAGGCAACACAATTAATGGACAACCGAAGTAGCAGCATTTCATGGGGCTTTCACAAAGCCTGGAATACTAGTCAAGTGTTTCAGATCACTGACGCTTCGAAACATAACATCAGTAAAGCAGCCTACCCAGAAACTTTTTAACTACAATAACAGCAATACTAATTTAAGTAACCAATGAACTGTCTTTTATCATATTGTATATTGCTTATGAAATGGAATTGCAGGAGGCAGAAGAGGTACTTAAAAAACGAAGAGCAAACTTGAAAAAACAATTTACAAATTGCACTCCAGGGATATATTTCTCTACTGTTGCTCTAAGTTTCATTGTTCCTGTAGTGCCTTAGAAGTGGAATCCCATATGACACTGAATTTCATTGTGTACAGTGGGCTCTATCCACATGCCTGGCACACAGTTCTTCTGTAAATCATCCACTGTGCAACAGTACTTCCGAGACTAGAGAAGCTCAGGAAAAATGCTGCACAGCCTGGGAAAACGGTAAGACATGCACCTAGAACCAGAGCTAACCAATCACTTGTCTACCAAAAAGTTCAGGTAGCTACAAAACAGCGAGATACCTGCAAAAAAAAAAAAAAAAAAAAAAAAAAAAAAAAAAAAAAAAAAAAAAAAAAAAAAAAAAAAAAAAAAAAAAAAAAAAAAAAAAAAAAAAAAAAAAAAAAAAAAAAAAAAAAAAAAAAAAAAAAAAAAAAAAAAAAAAAAAAAAAAAAAAAGAGAGAGACAGAGGGGGAAAAAAAAAGCTTCCTGACCCTGACCCAGATTTCAGAACCAGCACAAGGGCCATTTAGGAGTCAGACACTCCCCAAGAAAAATAATAATTGCTCATAAGGTTAACATAGTTTCCAATGCTTGTGATTATCAGTGTCAAGATAGTTCACTTTTTATTTAATTAAAAGAATATATATACCCATTGATTTAATTTATTTTGCAATGAAAAAGGAAGTAACCCACTGGTAACAGATTATATTGTGCTATATAAAATAAGTAGATACTCAATCACTGCAAATTACTGGGAATAAATCCCATAGGCCAAAACCAAACCTCTGTGTGGAAGAATACATTGAGACACAAAGAGAATAGGGGTTTTGAGCATTTCCTCTTGATAGGTTTTGGACTGATTCTTAAAGCCAAGTTTATTTCAGAAGAAAAGATTCAGGAAGCAGGCAATCACTACATACAACTTCAAATCTACAGGTTAAATTACAAGAGTACCTAAGTGACAAGCATGCCCAAAAACAGTCAATACATTTTAATGAAAGATTAAACTTTCACAGTTTCCTAAATCAAAAACTTCACTGTTCATTTTGGTTACTTGAAACGTATCTCACATTTGGAAAATTAAGATAAACAACACTATTTTATTAAAACAAAAAACATTTACCACACACTCTAACAAGCTTTTTAGAAGTCATACTGATCACTTGAAAGCAGGGAACAGCTCAGGCTGCAGGGAAATCAGCAGCTCTGCATGTGTAGGACTAGTATAGTGTTCCATTTGCTTGCTCTGTAACTGGACAAAGTAAATCGTAGCTTCCAGCCTGCCAGTAGGAATCACATCTTCAAACTCCTGGCATTTAGAACCAAACTTTCTTTCAGACACAATAAGAAAACAAGCAAATTTAACTTGTGGCAAGCACCTGTAGCAGCAGAGAAACTTTCTATTTATCCTATTTGCTAGAGAGCTCCGATATCTCTATCAAAGACTTAAAGCATAAGCTCCAATATCTATCAGGCTTTGGTGATGGCCACAGAAAGGTATACTGTGAAGCACAAGACATGGAAAAGTTTTTCACTGAAACTAAAGGTTGTTAGAAACACAAACTTTGCTGTCGTAATACCTATATAGCATACTATTGCAATTATTGCATAAGGCAAAAAGAAAGTAATTTTTCTGAAGTCTGTTCTAAGTAGGTCTTCAACAACAAAATGGAGACTGACTGAGGCACCTTGCTCTAACCATCTTTCACCATAGCATTTGTGGTCCATCTGCCTCTTATCATCTCACTGGACTAGATCCAGTAACTTCTTCCCCCAAGTTCTTTCAAAAACACACAATACATGTGTAACTCTCCATTGGTTTTCAGACTATTTTATTTCACATATCAGTTACATCTCATGGTAAAAAAGTATTGAGACTGTGAAGTTTATAGAAAAATCAAGAAAATACCTTTTTATTCCTGAACTATTCTACATAATTTCTACGTACCGATTTAGAAAGAATGATCAAAAACCCCTAGGATTGCTGGTTTTCCAATAAATGACATTCCAAGCAAACCCAAGACCCAGATCTTCATGCAATATAAACAGACGACAAAAGCAGAGCCTTATGGACAAACAGAGCTGGCACACACGTACTGGTGTGAGACAAAAGCAAAGGCGACAAGAGAAACAATAGCAAGCAAAAAAGAAGGAGAGGAGGGAAAAGTAGGTTGGCATTTGGAAAGCAGAGGACAATTGAAATGAGCAATGGGTAAGAAAGCATGTGAGCAAACAAAATTTTCCAGAGTCAAAACTGAAAGCAAAGTCATAACAACGACAGATCCCAGATGCATCGGGTTTGGTCTTTTCCCACTGCACCAGTGTTGCGCCATCGTCCCTTATACAAGGGTTGTAGAGTCTCCTCATTTTTTCTATCTCAGCTTGGAACCTCAGGAAGGATGGGACCCATTAACAGATTCCCAGGCCATCTGTAGTCAGTGGATGACTAAACATTTCATTACAGTAACTCTTGCTTGTTTTCTGTCCTTCCTTCTTCACTCCGTAGCTTCAACTCTCTTTCAAAGAGATCCCTATGATCCTTTAGCTCATTCTCTTCTATAACACAGCCTGTGAAATTCCACCAAGTCCACAAATTCTGGCTGAGCTAGACAACTCCTCTGAAAGAGCACCTTAGAAAAACTCAGCTCTTTCCCAAACAAATCATATGCTCTCAGTTATCAAAAAAAAAAAAAAAAAAAAAAAAGGCACACAACTGTTTGTCTAAAAAAATTGCCTAGTTTTGTTTTCAGCTATTAAATCTAATAATCTCTTCTTGCTAATTAAAAGAGCCTTCTTTCAATAATCTTATACAACACAGAAAAAAACAAAACAAACATTAATCACACACTTTACCTTGGTTCTTTAGTTTCACTAAGTTATGCCAGCCATTCTCTGGCTGTCTTATTATCTTTTCAGCTTGGTCAGTATTGTTTTTTAAAACAGTCCCCAGAACAGGACATAATATTCCTGTAACTGTCCCTCTAATGCTGTATAGCAGTAATAACATAACCTTGCTAAGCTACCTAAAGATAGCATTTACTCCATAAGCCATTGCATTGTACTGCAATTTCATGCTCAACTGGTAATACATCAGAGCTCCAAATCATTTTCTGAGTCAATGCTTTCCAAAATACAGTCTCCTATCCTGAATGACCTATATTCATAGCTCCTAGCTGTGACTTTCCACTGAGCCATGGTAAAGCCCGTGTTGCTCAAATGTATGTAGCCTAGCACATGATCAAATTTGGTATCTAGAAGGGACTCTTCATTTGACACAAATTACTTCAGTATGTGTAGCATTTCCCTATAATGCTTGCGGTCTTCTAAATTAAGAAAGATTTGAGTAGCATCATGTCAGGAACAGATGGATAATCAACCTCCATCTCACCCCCAAAAAAACCCCACCACAAATCCACAACCAAAACCACAAATCAACATTGTTTCCTGATGAGGTCTGGCATGTATTTCCGCTGAGTGCAACTGAAATTAGTTTTATGTATTACATCAGGTCCATTACACCACTATTGTAATCACCATTGCACAGAAGCAAGTCAAATGCCTTGAAACTTGCATATAGTTATGGCAATTACTGTCAGCTGAATACAATTTGAGATGAATTTGGCAGAATGTATCTACATAAAGACTCACATCATGCAGCTGCTCAACACATTCCTTTAAGACCAGTGTCAATGAGGACCATTTCACTAAGCTGTATAAACAATAACATAGTATTTTTTCCTGTACTTTCATTAGAACCTTGAGTGTCATTCAATACCTATTCTTTGTCAATTCTCTGAAAATTCACTGAGTAGCTATCAAGCTTCACACATTAAGAAGCTTTTGACATGAACAATTTATGTTCTGCATCTTACCTGGTTACAATCATATCAAAGACTACTCAGCAATTACTAGAAAGTCCCAAGACAAATATTATTCTCAGTATGGAACAGAAATATTTGACAACAACAACACTTGCCTAATATTGATTTGTTATTCTTTCCACACATACCTAGAACTTTCCTCTTTGCCTTTAAAGAGGCATTTCTATTACTACATTTAGCTTCTGTTAGGAGTGCATTTCATATCTGCTATCAGTTTCTCACTTTCCCTACAACTCCTTAGGCCCTTGTTATCTGTAAATATTTCCATTTCACTAAACACAGTTTAACCAGGGACAGCAGAAGTGCTGCAGCACCACCACTAGCCACATTTTATGCAGCACCTACTTGCAGTCATGCTGCATAAAAACAGATCATCTCTTCCCTTAACAAAACCAAATCTGCCAGAACTATTCTCATGTTTCACTGTGGTTGAATGTGTTCTGAAACTTATTGTTTTGGGATTAATTAAAAATTAATTACCTCTATAATTGCTTCTTTCTTTTGCTTTTCTGGCTCATGTTCAGAATACCATATCAACACCAACCCAATGTACTAAAAAATTCAAATACTATAATATCTGATTATTTCTGTAGCACAGGAGGAAATCATAGGTTCATGGAACTGAAAATAAAAACTTCTGAAGAAGCATCAACACAGATGTTTGCATTTACAGCACTGGCAATCAAGTAGATAAACCATTATTGGCCAAGAAAATCAGAATTTTCTCTATATGCATAAATATACACTTTAAAAACACACTCTAGGTATGATTAATAGGTAAGTTTTTCCAGTTCGTTAGCTACCAAATACAACGCAATTTCTACTGCTGCCCTCTGTCTCTAAATACTTCCACAAACTTCTATCAAGTTTTAATGCCTTTGAAACCCATCAAATCAAACGTGTCGTATTTTCAAAGCGAACGTGACCCTAAAAAAACAAACAAACAAACAAAAACCACCCTACTCTTCTAATACACCTTCTTTAGTCGAATTAGGATGTATTCATAAAACACTGAGGCCAATTTGGCACATGCTGTTTTGTTTCCAGTTCCTTCGGAGTCCAGGCTGTTGGTCCAAGAACGGTGCGTGCCTTCATGCCCCTGAACTCCATAACCTGTGCCGATCTCCCCATCCGCCTCTGTGCCTTCAGAGTGTCCCTCTCTGCCTCCTATGTCCCCGTCGGCCTCTCTGCTCCTCCAGAGTGTCCCTCTCTGCCTCTCTGTGCCTCCAGTGTCCAGCATAGCTCCAGTAGCTGCTCTGACCCAGCTCCTCCCTGATGTCTGCGTGCTTTAAGCGTTCCTTATCCAGTCCCCGCAGCTACTGAGCAGCCTGGCTACCCTACAGCGGGTGTGTCACTCCTTCCAAAGATAGGAACAACTTTGTTCTTCTTGTACCGAGAAGAACCACCAGGCAGGGTGTGAGAGCCTTCGCTCCTCCTGATGTGCACCGTTAAAACAAAGCAGAAGCCCCTATTTCCCCCAGAGAAATTCTTATGAGCACAGCGATTAGCAGCCCAGCTGCTGTGTTGCTCTCCTGGCCGGGTACCTCCGCGGGCTCCCGAGCGCGGCTCAGCTGCTCCTTCAGCTCCAGCACCCTCCCCGCCATGGAACCGGGATCGGGATCGGCACTCCGCCCCTCCGCCATCACACCGGCACCGCTCTGGCACTGCCCCGGCACCGCCCAAGCCGCCCCGCTCCGGCTCACCCTTCTTGTACCCGCGCCTGCTCCGCCATAGGCGGGTCCTCCCGGCCGGGATGGGTGCCGAGAGCTGCGGCACACCTGGCTGCTCGCTACCTGTCAGCAGGATGATAGTGAGGGTGTGCGTTGCTCTGCTCTGCCTCGTTAGACGCCATTTGAACACACAGTGGCACTGGGCAGGCACGGCTGTAGCGAAGGTGAGCCCGTGGCGGTGAGTCGGGGGCATCACCAGCCTGCCCCAAGACGCGACGTGGCGCGCTCTGTGCCCCTGCCGAGGCGTGTCCATCGGTGTGTCCATCGGGGCGGCCGCGGGAGAGCCGGGAGCGGTCTCTGTCCCTGGTATTCCCTGTCAGTGTCAGTCACTTGTTCGTGCACGCCTGTCCTGTTACCTGCAGGTGATGACTAGGTCTGTGGCACTCCTGGTGTCCGTGCGTGGCTGGGAGGCTGCTCTGTGGCACGATGCCTTGTGTAGGGGGTAGCATTGTCAAGCCATGAAGACGTGACTGGCACCCACGGGCACCCACTGCGGTCCTGACTCGGCTGAAGAGGACATCCTTTTCTTTTGGTCCTGCCTTATTTACAGCCTGATGGCTAATGCTTTTTGACTTTTTTTTTTCACTTTCCTTTTTTTCCTCCCTCCCTAGGCGGACTGATCACTTTTGGGCCCTGCATAGCTCCCTTGTGGATTATCTATAAAGCATGTGACAGGGAATCAATCGGTCTTTGGTTCTGTGTGAATCGCGCATCTGAAACGGGATCTCCGCGGTGGAGCTTCCCGGGGCTGAGCATGTGCTCGAAAGACTCCAAGCTGAATGAATCCTTCCTAAAAAAATCTGTGTCTTTGCAGTATTTCCTGGAAAGTTAATGAAGATGTAATTAAAATAGATACATAGAACACCTTTCACTCTTTAGAGTGGTGTCTAGGGAAAGTGCTAAAAAAGTGTATCCAGTCTGAACTACAGGGGAATTTAAGTAGGCAAAAGTCTGGTATTTGCACGTTAGGGTTACTGCTCTTGCAAAATAGATCTTATTACAGCTTGGCACAGTGTATAGCAAATTCATCAGTAGAGAAACCAAAATAGCTGGTATGGCAATACAGCAGGTAGAGCTCTTAAGTTGGATATGGAAAAAATAAATACAGGTCCTGATGCAAACTGGATCTCCATTTCCCATGCTCATCTTTTTACTTTACAGAAATAATTAACTCATCTTCACAATATGACCTAAAAATAGGCCATTCACAACTAGTTCCTCTTCAGTTTTCTGGCCCAAGTAGTATGAAATTATTTCTATAAGGTGGCATTTATGGAGAAGAAATCTTCAGAGAAATTCAGCCCACACCAGCATTATAATTAAAGTCATCATGAGTAGGGAAGTTGAGGCTCAGATTGTCATATGTATTATGCGATTGAGACTGGAATTCCCATATGTTGTTTGAAAGTCTTAATTCTCAAATTACTGGGTTTCCTGGGATGAGGAAAATGTCCTTGCTGCCCAGTTATTCTGAAAGATCATGATTTCATGCCATTTAAAAAAAAGACATTTAAAATCTTAAAAGCTTCCTTGAACAAGAAAAATATTTCTAGCCCAGATCTAACTGCGACATTTTTCGTGTCACCTGTCATAACTGTCAGAGGAAAGAATTCCAAATTTACTCAATCTTTCAAAACTGCAGCCTGATCATTATGAGGATTTGTTTGTTTGGCATCGATGTGTGACTCCTTTTAGAAGAAGTGGGGTTGCCATACACACAAATATAGCTCCAAAAATTGCTCGGACAATACGTGCTCAAAAGCTATGTTGTGCCATCAGCTTTGTCCCAAGGCTTGCAAACTCCCTTCTCATCTCTAAAGTCCTCTCTATGCCCTGCTGCCAGTGCTTCGTGAGTTTCCAAGGAAAGACTGAAACCAGAAATAGGCTTTGTACAAGCTGAAGAGAAGAGCCAGGTGAGAGTTTCAAAGGGGGTGAATCAATGTGAGAGTCTTGGCAGAGCAAAATTAGACAGTGAAGTGGGAGCAAGCGATCGAATACGGGGGGAGGTCTGAGTGACCCACTGGGGATGAATGTCTTGCTGAACACTTGATTTTACCTTCTGTGAAATCAAGCCCTGTGCATTTGTTTCTAAAGAGTAGTAGTTTGTACATTTATTGAGCAGCTTAAAAAGAAAACAAACAAAACACATTTCTATTTCTTTTTTGAAAAAACTACAATCCCCACTGAAATTCAGTATGCTTCCACTGTTATCTCCAGTCTGCATAAGGACCTTCACCCTTCCTAAAGGCATTACTGGTGTGATTACTCAGTACCTTCAGATTAGTGCATCTAAAGATATTTTTTCATAACTGTTTATCATAGAGAACTAAATATGGGATTTGAGGGTATGTGGTATTTAGCTGAGCATACATAAAGTGCTCAGAACAAACAAAACAGTCATGATCTAGAGCTAAGCCTGAGTTTTGTTAACATCTTTAGTTGGCTAAGGTAGATCTGCACATGGTCGTGGCTGTGACACTTGTGTTCCACCAACAAAACCAGCATGCTGGCTTCAAAGAAAAGGCTTTACATTTCCAGAAAGAGTGCAGTAGTGGTTGTGCATTGATTAGAAAAGATGGTTATAATTGCCTTAAGGCCTGTCTTTGCTGATACAAGAACTTTCCCTATTGTTGATTCTGAATCACACACATGGAGCAAATAATAACAATTGTTCTTAGTCATTGGGCTGAGAACAAATCTCTTGAAATGTTTCCACTTTTTACCCCTAAAATGTTAAAACATTACTACATGACCTGCTACTGCTGCATGGATTGATAGTTTTGTCCTTAGTCACTCATAGAGACCAGTTGATTATGAAGTAAATTAAATAATTTTCCCTCGAGATTCACTCATACCTAAAAGTATGCATCTTGAGAGGCTCAAGATATTGTCAAAAAATTAGTACCCCCTCTTTGAAGTGAGAAGACAATTAATAACCTGATTGAAAGGACTTAAATCAATATAAAAATATTTTATAGTAATTAGTTTCTATGCCACTTCAAAGCAAATAAGCAGAAATACAACATTATCTTCAAGATATAAGGCAAAAAATGTTAAGAATATCTGAAAATTAAAAGGCATATTAAATCAAAGTTTGATTTTAAAAACTATTGTTTTATGTAAATACTTATATATATGTATAATGTATTATATATTTTATATATATTTTATGAACATGTATAATGGATATATATGTGTGGTTTGCATAACGCAAATGATTTCTGAACCTGGTACTAGTTATCTTTAAAAGATTTCACTGTTTGCTAATTAATGGAAAATGAGAATGACTAGGCCTAAGAACAACTTGCATGCCACATAATATCCAACTACACTATCAGTTGTCCTCTGAAGACCAAGTAACATTCAACCAAAGTTTCAGAATTATGTGAGATGTTTACTCTGTCAGTTTTAGTACACTGAGATGTTGACTCATGCCCCACAAGATGGTTATCTCTATACTGTCCAGCTCAAAGCATGGTCGATATTTTCTGGAAATTAGGAATTAGTTTTGTCTTTTCAGTGAGGATACTTCCCCATTGTCGTTTCTGTTGTTTTTTTCAACAGTGAACCATATAAGGATGTTGGAAACACATCTGTAGAGACTAAATAAGACTTGAATTTATTTTACAGTGTGCTAATAATTTTAAAGATATGCTATGAAAATTAGAATAATATTTTATTTTCTACATATTATGATTGTGTATTCATTTTGGAGAATTGTCCCCTTCATAAAAACAAAAAACCAAAAACCAACAAAAAACAAACACACAAACCTCTCTGAAAAATACTGGCTTTCTAGGACATCTTAAAATTATAAAAATTTATAAAGTCTTGGCATGAGTTGTTAGAAAAGGGAACACTGAATAACTCATGTTCACTGGTATGTATATACTTGGGAGTGTTGTTTTAGAAATACACCTGTTCTACCTACAAAACCTAATTTTTTACAAGTTCTTAAAACTTACGAAGTACAGTGAGAAATATATTCTTTGTGTAAAAGTCATTACAGCTGGTCCTTTAAGGTAGAGTTTAAAAATTCTTAAGGACAGTTCTTCATGTAAGGAATTTTATAATTAGATTGAACTGGTAAATTAAAATATATTGAGATGTGTTAAGATGATGATAAATGTCATCCTACGTATTAAATTCATGTTATAGTTAGTTGTATTTTTGAGGCAGTAGAAATCTACATGTGAGAAAAAAAAAGATAAAGTAGGTGGAGACTCCCTTTTTACAAGGAAACACGGGGAAAAGATAGGGGGGATGGGTACAGGTTATTCCTGGGGTGATTATGATTTGACGGAAGAAGAAAATTTTTCACAATGAGAACAATCAGTCACTGGAATAATCTCAGGGAAGTAAGTGGTGGATTCCTCAATGCTGCACAATTAAGATTCACCCAAAGAGTGTGCTGGCCTATCTTGTCTAGACCATGCTTTTGCCAAGAAAGGCTGACCACATGATCCTTGGAGTTCCTTCAAACCTGGTATTCAATGATTCTATGAAAATAAGGCTTTGTGCTTATTTTTTCACAGCTGTGGCCCTGTTTTTCAAAAGGGAAAATGGTTGTTGCTGTTGGGAGGGCTTGGCTTTATGTCCTTCTCCTTCACTCTCATTTCACACATTTGACTGCCTATGTTCCCTATTCTGTTTTTTAATTTTTATCTTGTAACATTTTGTAATACCAGCACAGTAACGCTGTTTTGTTCAAGATGTCAAGTGTTACTTTGCAGCAGTTGTTGTAAAAGCTCATCCAAGCCTGGAGGCAACCAAATAAATCTGTAAGAGTAAGTATTAAACAAAGTACAGCCAAGAGGAAGTCTTCCTGTTCTCTGACTTCCACTTCTCCCAATATCCTTTTTATCTCTCAGACAGGATTAAGTTCTCCTGGGATGTGGAG